TTTGGCTTGCAGGCCATGTGTGCTCGAATTTACTGGCGCATTGCCCATTAAGCGTACAAGGTAATCATTACACATATCCTTGCAGTTGAATTTAAAGCGCGCTGTGCTTGTGTATGGCAGGCATGTGATTTATTCTGCGCTCTCTAGAAATTGCTTTATATAACACAAATTTTGAAAAAAAAAAAAACATAAATACAAACGAAAATCTTTTAATGGATTTTGCTTGTACGCCGCTTTGATTGCAATCTACACTGAGTATGGCTGAAGCCGCATTCAAATTAAATGTGCCTTCGAAAACTAATAAATCTCCAGTTTTTGTGACTGCAAGTCGCCAACTTGTTTGTGCTTGCAACACCACATATAATTGCATTTCTACTGCTATCAGCCTTAATGTTAATCATACTGCGGTGATACTTCTAACAAGCGTCTGCAACTGTGTGCGTGTCTTTGATACACTTTTTTTCAATGAAAAAGAACGCGAAGAACGCCGACTAGACGCTGTATTCGCGCGCTGCTCACCAAACTTAAATCAACTTCCATTTTTTAACTTTTTTAAGCTTTTTTTTTTCTTTAAAATATACTACTCTCTCGCCCCGACACCTCGCGTGTTGCACAAAAAGTTCTAAAACTTTGGCTTACCTTCTTAGTTTTCGACTGCTTCAATGTCAGCGCTGGCGTAGGCAAGCGGCATTTCTTCTTCGCCGTCTCGCTTCCGTTTCGCATAGCACTTCACACTTTTTTCTTGGTATTTTCTCGCACTTTCGGCTCTTTTATTGATTTTTGTACCAACATTTGCAGTGTGAGTTGCAATAATTTTGTGGTTCACGCTTACCTTTGGCGAATTTTCACTTTTTCAAACCGAACTGGCAGCGTGGAAGAGGCAAATCGAAAAAAAAAACTGTAAGAATTTTGCCATATCTTGAAATCACATAAATAAAAAAGTCTCCCGCTAAGGCAGACGTCTTTGACACACGGCGCAAATACCTTGCCGAGCGCGCTTAAGCATTGCTAATGCAGTTGCAAACACGCACACACATTCACTCATACCACATACACATATTCATGTACATTTTGCTATATTTTTATTTGTGTATTTGCCCTCTGGGCACTATACTACCTCATCCGCAAGTACATTTTACGGCTGCTTCACCTTGAGCAGCGCACGTCCGTTAGCAGGGCAACTAACCTACCCTACCACCACCGGCTCGTAGCTGCGCGGCAGCGTCGTCTTTTACGTGCGTTGCAACCCTCGCAGCATGCTACGCTTTCTAACGCTGGACGTTGCGCCTATGCCGTGCGTTTTGAAAGGGCTCTAGTGTATGAGCAAGCGAATGTGGTCTGTTGCTTTGCGCTGCTAAGCTGAAATCAATGACCTTTGCAGCGATTATTTTTTTTTTTGCTTATTTTATATTTAGTGCGAGTTCTGCACAACTCGGTGGAAGATTCTTTGCACGTGCTGTTTTGATTCTTGATTGCTTTTTTTTTTTGCCGAAAAGAGAGGGTACGCTCTCAAAAATATATGAAGAGGAAGTGTCTGTTAATTTTAAAGGATTTTTTAAGGCACACTGAGATCTTAAACTGCAATTTTTACACGAAATTTTGTCTCAATTTTTAATTTTTATTGTTTAAATATTTAGTGAGTGGCGTTACATTATTTGAGGCCATTCTATCCAAAATTTACATTCCAAAAACCGATTTTTCGTAAAAACTTTTTTTTTAATTCTTTCGTAAAAACATTTTTTTGTACAAAAATCGAAGAACACAAATCGAGGCAAAATCTTTTTTTCGTAGAAACATTTTAAAAAACTTTGGAAAAAAATGTTTTCTAAAAAATCAAGCTTCAAAATTACTTTTTCTTAATTTTTTCTTAAAAAATCGTAAAAAATATTGTTTCTAAAACGTGCAAGTTAAAAAATATTTGTTCTTTATTTATTTGTAAAAAAAACATTTTTCTTAAAAAAATTCGTAAAAAATATTTTTTCTAAAAAAAATAATTGCTTAAAAGATTTATTAAAATATTTTTTCTTAAAAAAATGTTCCGTGAAAACATTTTTCTTAAACAAATTGTCAAAAAAAATTTTTTTCCTAAAAACTCAGGCGAAAAATAGTTTTTCTTCTGTTTTACGTAAAAAAACGGTCTTCTTAAAAAAAAAAATCGTAAAAAATATACTTTCTAAAAAATTTAAGCTAAAAAATAGTTTTTATTTTTATAAACAAATATATTATTCAAATTGGCAACTACTTATATTAATTTATTTTTAATAAAAAAGTCCGTGAAGATCCCCCTCCAAATCACATTTAAACCCTTCCAATCGCGCTTATAAAGCGTTTACGGCAATTTGCCACTTGTAGCAACCTAGAAAATGTCGAAACTATTTCAATAGCAGCAACATGCAACAAAAAATATAAAACAAAAGTAATCAGCATATTGCAGCAATATAATAGCAATGGCTAAAAAATGAAAGTCATGAGGCACAGAGATTAAAATGTGTTGCTGGCGAAAACAAAAGATTTCAATCGATATCATTAACACGAGCCCCTAGGCACACACGGCAAATGCACTGCATACAAACAAAGCTACACGTATGTGTTTGTAAAATTGTCTACTGTGTGTATGTGTGTGACATTGCTGCCACATTTGGTCAATCTTCGGCCTGTCAGGCGACAAGTGTGGCATTCAACAAAGCATGCTTTTTCATGATTTATGGTGCACAAAAAAATATTTTTTTTTTATAGAAAATGCATTTTTGTATAACACTCGAGACATTGGCAACATTTTTCACACTTAATTACAATAATGAGTGTGTAGGAAAAAACAACAAATACAGGCATACAATAAAAAAGACCAAAAAACTGGTATAAGAGGTTAATGAAATGTGGCAGCGGACACTTAATATTGTGGAAAAATTTAAATGACAATGAGCGATTAAAGTGGCAGTGAAAAATGAGGCTAAAAATTAAGATGCATAAAATATTGTTGTGAACAAAAAAGATGATTATTTTAATGTGTTGCTACTTGCTGGCATTTTTGTGCTACCCGCCACTTGAAAAGGCGAAATAATCTAAAGCTTTTATTTTTTATGCCGGAAATCGCGCGAATACACAACAAATGCAGCATGTATTTGTTGTAAATGAGTAAACGCACTCGAAAAGCAATTTGACAGTTCGAGTGCAGCGAAGTTTGAGTGCTAACTGTCAATAGTGGCACGTTGAAAAACGATTGAGAATAAAAAGCTAACTGTTAAGTGCTGCTCAGTAAGCGATTGCACAAGCGGAAGTGTCAATAGTTCCAAGTAATTTGAGGAAGCGCTGCGAAATTAAAGGAAATTAAAAATTGAAATGAATTGCGCGAAATGGGTGGGGAAAGCGAGCGGAGCAAAGTATGCAGTTGAAGAAAAAATTATAAAACTTGACGCTGGTGCTTGCTTATGTAAAAGTAACTTTCGCAGAGACGGTAACTTAGTTGAAATGCCAGGAAAGCTTGCTATAAATAACTGAAAAAGCAAAAAATGTGAGCAAAATAGTTTACAATAACATATCATAGCCTTTAGCGCTGCTTTCCAAATGTCTGATTAGCAGTCATCTGTTAATCCACCAAACCATGACTTTTTATTTTGGCGAATAACCTTTTTGTAACATATTCAATGTCTGCTTAGCAGTTATTCGCCAGTTAAGTTCTGATTAACTTAACCAAGACTTCTAATTTCGGCTAGTAACCGTTGTTTAACATATAAAAGCATTTAGGTCCACTTAATCAATGCCTGGTTAGCATCCATCTGTCAGTTAAGTTCTGGTTAACTTAACCAAGACTTCTAATTTCGGCTAGTAACCGTTGTTTAACATATAAAAGCATTCAGGGCCACTTAATCAGTGCCTGGTTAGCATCCATCTGTCAGTTAAGTTCTGGTTAACTTAACCAAGACTCTTTATTTTGGTGAAACACCTTTTTTAACATATAAATGACTTTAGCGCCACTTTCTCAATATTTGGTTAGTAATCATCCGTCGTTTAAGTTCTGGTTAACTTAACCAAGACTCTTGATTTCCGCAAATAACTTTTTTTTAAGCATACGAAAACCTTTAGCGCCGCTTTCTCAAAGTGTGGTTAGCAGCTATCTGGCAGCTAAGTTTAGATCAACTTAACCAAGACACTTTATTTCGACGAATAATCTTTTTTTAACCAGAATATCACTGGCATAAGGCTGCTAACCAGATATTGAAACGCCCTTAGTATTTTCTGCAGGTTACCTAGTTTTCACGAATATTTAGCCATGCCTCGAATAACCTTTCAATTACTATATAACACAGCACATAATACACCCACATACATAGCAGTAATAAGTAGCCTTGTCATCGCGCATATTACTCATATACAGTATACGGATAAATATTTGCATATTAAAAACAGACAAACGGTTATTTATGACCTTTTATAATTTACGATTTATGAAAATTTCAAGTCGTAAATTCCTATTTAGCCTTATGACACAATACGAAAGCAAAAAGAAAACAAGAAAATAGTAAAAAATGCTGCTTTCGAAGTCAAAATATTTTCGAGTGCGCTTACTAGACACTAGTTTTTTGTTTTCTTAAAGTAGTGAAGTCGTAAGCAAGCGTAAGCAATTAATTATACAGTAACTCAATTTCCTCCCGCGCTCCCTTTCTCCACCACATACACTTCAACAGTAAAGTATTTAAACAAAAATATGAAAAAAAATATACTGAGCTCACGACTTTTTTTTAAAAAATTATTTAATTGTTTTCTATGCTTCAAAGTTTAGGAAATTTCCTACACGCAGTCCCACACACATATATATAAAGTGATATATGAAATATATACTAGTGAGTGTGGGTTGTTTGTAGCAAACGCAGTTTGAAATATCGTATTCACTTAAGTATTTGAAAAAGTATAGTTCGTAGAAGTGTTTGTTATTTTATGATTTATGCAAATTTGTTATTATAAAATTTTTAATGACTATATTTATTTTTGTTTGATTACAGGTTACCCCAGTTAACGCTCAATGCCAAGAATACTATTTTACTTATGGTGAGTAAACGATTAAAGCGCCTAAAAGGCAGTATATAGTACATACGATGTAAATAATATTAAGTATAATTTAAATAATATATAAATATAAATAAGTGAGCAAAATATACACATTAAATAATAATTTACGCTAAATAAATTGTTTTAAAGATTGAGCGTGAAAAAAAGAGATAAATAAAATATGGAAAAAGAATTTCATGAGAGTTCAACAGCATACGAGTAGAAGTACATAGGTTTTAGTTTTATGTGAAAAAAAAAATTTTTTTTTGAAAGAAATTATGCATTGTTTTGGAAGATTTTATGAGTTTTTTTCTTAATTGATTATATATGAAAAAATCAAGCATTTTCCAAGAAAACAAAATTAAGTTTTAACTGGAAATAAAGCTTTTTTAAATTAATTGCATGTTTTCGAAACATATATAAAATTTAAAAAATGTTTCATTTATAATATTTTCCAAAAT